AGAGCTTCTGTGTAGTTATTGTTGCTAGGAAACAACATCCTTGGTATCCAAGTGTTTGAGCTTTGAGACACTGTGTGAAGCCACTGGTTCATAAAGGAAAACCTTTGGTAAATAGGTTGTTTAGGTGTGAGTAAATTGATGTTCTCTCTTTCTGTAGCAAATGTTCTTGTGTAACCTTTGAATAATAGTGTATTTGTAGGCCTTTATTCTTTCCTTTGAATCCAGCTGCCATTATTGCTCCCAGGAGAACTCAAACTTCTACGGAAATGGAGTGAGCATTCTCCCCCCCCCCCCCCTACATCATTCATAATTATCTCAGTGCCTTGAACACTAAGCCTAACGGTTTTAGTTAAACAAAGTGCAAGTGAGCTTGGAAATCTAGACCCAGACCACTGACCATATAAACTGCTGAATACTATCAAAATCTGCATTGATTGAGCCCTAGTCAGTTTGTCTCAGTCGATAGAGCGTCGGCCTGCGGACTCAAGGATCCCAGGTTCGATTCCGGTCAAGGGCACGTGCCTTGGTTGCAGGCACATCCCCAATAGGGGGTGTGCAGGAGGCAACTGATTGATGTTTCTCTCTCATTGATCTTTCTGGCTTTCTCTCCCTCTCCCTTCCTCTCTGTAAAAAAATCAAGAAAATATATTTTTAAAATAATAATAAAATTTGCAATGATTGATAGCCAGATCCCAGCGTTTTAATTGTCTATGACCTTGAGGTATTCTGTCACTCTTCACAGAACATTGAGGAGTGCTGTTTTGGCTCACCCAGTCTCCACCTCTTTCATCTCCAAACTGCAAGCCATCTCTGGGCTCTCAACTATAATTATCACTTATGTTTCTCCCTTAGGACTCTATAACTCAAAAACTAGCCTGAGGTGGTTATTTATCACTTACTCATTCGGTTAGCCTAAAATTAACAAGCAGCTTTTTTTATTTTGTTGGTTCCCAGATCTACCTATAAGCCCCCTGTGAGCAGAATCATCTTTATCAAGGAATAAATGTAGCTCACGAACTCTACAAAATAAGTTACCTATATCAGGTTAGTGGTTTGGGACAATAGTTAGAATTCTAAGCAGCAAAGAGTATTCACTAATTCATTGATTCAAAAATATGCATGGAATACTTAATATAGACAAAATCTGTTCTTGGCATCAGGAATTTTTTTAAATGAATAAAACAATGTCCTTGCTTTCAAAAGTGTTTAATGTAATATAACATTATATATATATATATATATATATATATATATATATATATATATATATATATATATAAAGCTGAAGTGACCAAAAGACTGAATGGCCAAATTACCTGTCCACTGGTTGCTTTCAAAAGTGTTTAATGTAATATAACATCATATATATATATATATATATAAAGCTGAAGTGACCAAAAGACTGAATGGCCAAATTACCTGTCCACTGGTTGCTATGATGTGCACTGACCACCAGGCGGCAGCCACTCAATGCAGGAGCTGCCCCTGGTAGTCAGTGCACTCCCACAGCCAGTCTCCTGCAGTTGGCCAACCTCCTGCAGCCCCAATTGCCCCAGTTGCTGGTCAAGCTGAGGGACCTCACCTGTGCATGAATTCATGCACCAGGCTTAGTGTAGTATAATAATAATATACAATGGAGATGACAAAGGCAGAGGTAAACACAGTTATATACACAGATAAAATATTTGCTTTATACGATGTACTGTATAATTAATAGGATCTCATCAGGAAAGCAGAAACCACTCAAGATTTTTCAAAAGGGAATTTAATTGAGAGAATTGGTTACAAAATGGGAAAGGCTGGGAAAGCAAAAGGAAGGAAGAGAAAATAGTGCTAATAGCCCTGTCCTGGAGCCCACAGGCCTGAATCTGCTGTGTTCCTATGGATGCTGTTCTAGATGTCTATGAACTCGACAAAAGAGATGCTGCCCCTTCTTCATCTGTGAGAGTCTGGAATCACCTCACCACCCTGGCAGCAATCACAAGCAATTGCAGCACCACCACTTCCAGAGCCAGAACCAAGAGCCTTCCCTCCCTTCAACTTCTAATCTCCAGCCAGTTCTTCTGAAGGATAGCACCTAACATGAAGCTGGAGAGACAGGGAGCCTAGGACCAACAATACAGAGCAGTAGAAGAAAGCAAGATATGAGATTCAGAAACACCAAACCAATAGCTGGCACAACCCACAAACAACAGAGGTTTTCATGTAAAGCCCTGGTAATCCCAAACCTGGAGCAAATATTTCTTCCCTAGAAGAGAGAATGCAGTTCTGTTGCAGATAAAGGAAGTCCAGTTGGTTAGCTTAAGCAGAAAGAGATTTAACACAGAGAAGTGGTACTTACAAAGTTAAAGAACTGAAGTAGTAGGCTGTAGGCTGAGCCACTGGAAATGACTCCCAGACCACAGGGCAGACTAGCCTATTGATAGCTCCATCACAATCAGGAAGCTGGTGTTGACTTGAGGACCACCAAAGCTAAAACCAGAATCCCTGTGTCCAGAACTACCTATACTATAGGACTTGCACCAACAAATGAGTGCCTCCAACACCACCTCTGACATCATTTAACTCTATGTGATCCAGAGAACCTAAATCATATCCACAACCTTAGTTGCAAAGGACTCTGTAGTTTCCACATTTCCTAAAGGAGATGAGAACATGCTAATGGAAGCCAGTCCAGACAGATACCTGCCACAGAATGAATTTTATGAAAATGTGTAACATTTAAGATACCCTTTGCAAGCTCCCAGAGGACAAGAGCCAGGCCAATTTTAAACTCCCAGCTCTTTTCCACCATATGACAGTCAGTACTCAATAAATAAATATCTACTTGTTGAATGAGTAGAGACATGTACTTAGGTTAGTGCCTGTTTATAAAGTTAAGGTTGGTAACACAAAGCAGGGAGTCTTGATGATGAGAAGCAAGAATGCAATATCCTACTTACTTTTATTGGATACCACCATATGTTAGGAGTTTGGTACGTATGCTAGACACTGAGGTATAGAGAGGAATGAGAACCAGTCCCTGATCAAGGAGCTCAGAACCTGGTGGGTGAAAGACAGATAAGACAAGTAAAATTCAGCATGGTTCCATGCTCTGTTCAAGGCGAGCACATTGTCTAATTGATAAAACGCAATTGTGGGCAGGAAGGACTATGACTAGTTGCCTTGGATATCTGTCCACACTTCTTCCTACACTCCGTCATGGCTACCTGATCATTTTATTCTTCTCAGCTCAGTTTTACCTTAGCATACTGAAATCTGTAAGGATGTTACAGTGTTTGTATGCATTCAACTTCGCCCTACAAGTTTCCATTTTCTTGCTAAAATTAAATTGCTTACTGAATAAACTTTATGAAGTAAATCAGTCTGTACACTGACATCAACTTCCTTTATGTTATTCACTCCATGTAATAAGTAATCTCTCTGCCAGCAGGTCTGCTCTAGCCATCTGGCCAAACCCTCTGCAAAGCCATCTCTAATTCCCTCAGGTCCAGAATTTTCTGAGACTGCTTGTTAGACCTAGATCCTGGAAAGCAAAACTAGGCCTATTCCTAGACACTCAACATGCTTATTGCCTGGAATAGTGCTTGACACATAGTAGGCACTCAAAATATGTGTACTGGAATGTAGAATGTAATTTCCATTCATCTGCCTGGCCAGTTTAGAGGTGGTAGGGGTGTGTGCTTCAGCAGGAGTCCTGATGGATGTCTAGGAAGACAAGAGGTTGAGTCCAGAGTTGTCCGTGGCAGCATAGAAGAGTCAGCAAAGCCCACATTAGAGTGCTTGGGAAGGGGATGTAAGCAAGAGGGTGCCTCTCCTGGGAAGCATATAGAAGCTCTGATCTATCAGCCATGTCTATGTGCTGCCTACTAGAGAGAAGATACCCAGAATCATCATCAAGCTAATTACAGAGGTATAATGAGGTGAAAAACTGTAGGTGAATGAATACAGCCTCAAAATGAGATGAGGGCAAAGGTTGGTTTTTAGGCTTTGATCTATAAATAATGTTTCTTTCCACAGAGTTACTGGGTTTAAGAACTTTCTCCCTAACAAATACTTATAATTCAAATATTCTCTGTTGTCAACTAAAAGACAACTCATGTTCCATCTATAATAGCTCAGAATAGGAGAGCTATTCATTTGTGCAAGGTGAGGAGCCAGCCAAAAACCTGCCTGAATGAAAGACCATCTAGGCCCACATACAGGTGAACAAAGGGTATGAGACAGGCTCTTGAAAAATCCACACTCTGATCAAGTCGGACAAGAAGACAACTTGAAATTTTGGATATATTGTCTTGGCTTCTTAAAGGATTTTTTAAAACTAAACTCTATGTTGATTCCATCTATCTTTTTGAAAAAACTTATTTCTCGTGCCAACTTCCTAAATGGACAATGCTGGGGCATTTTTCGTCCAACAAAAAAGGTCCATGGGAGATACTTCTTCTTTCAGGCCAATTGGTTTGTTTCTGTCTCATGGACACTGTGAATTTTTTTTAACTGATCTGATACTGTGATAGAAAGGCACTTTTATGGCTGTGTAGAGAGAAAGGTCCAAATGATCCTGAAAGCTCATTTCCTTCTTCCTGGCAGGGAGCAGACTCAGTAGATCTGAGTTAAGTGGATAGAAACACAGGCTGGTCCCAGCTCCTGGTTCCTAAAGCTATGCCTTTCTGAGCAGACCCACCTCTTGCACCAGGGTTTCCATTAGCACACAGTCACATAATCACACAAATGTTTATTTGAGTCTATAAAAAGAACAGATTATAGGCATGGCTCATCTCTACTAGAATCTCTGCCACTCAGCCCCCTCTGATGAGCCTAAGCTGTAGAATAATGAGAATTGGGTGAAATTTGCATTTCACTACAACTCTACATAGAATCCCGATTTAAAGCACAGTCGTCTTACTATCGCTTGCTGGGAATTGTGTCTTCAACTCCCAGTCTTCAAAATGAACTCCTAGGCCCACTGAACTCTAACTATGCGATATTCTTGGTTTCAGATGGCTATACCACTGATGACATTGAGTTTTATTGGAATGGAGGAGAGGGAGCAGTAACCGGAGTAAATAAAATTGAGCTTCCTCAGTTTTCAATTGTCGACTACAAGATGGTGTCCAAGAAGGTGGAGTTCACAACTGGTGAGGATGTTTCCTCCAAAATAAACTAGGACACTGTGTCAGAGAGAAGATGTTTTCAACCACGTGAGGATCTGATTCTTTTTCTTCTTCTTCCTTTTCAACTCAGGGTCATATCCACGACTATCACTAAGTTTCCGTCTAAAGAGAAACATTGGTTACTTCATTTTGCAGACCTACATGCCTTCCACACTGATTACAATTCTGTCCTGGGTGTCTTTTTGGATCAACTATGATGCTTCTGCAGCCAGAGTCGCACTAGGTAATGCATTGCCAGCACCACAGAGAGCTGGTGGGATTTGGCTTTAAACAAATCACCAGTGTTTGGAATTATAGCCAAGGGTTTTCTCTCATAGCAATGCAGAGAATGCAATTAGCTTGAGTCCTTAATGATAAAGCACCTGAGTGTAAACTCTTATTACAGAGTGAATGTTTTACAATGCCATACCTTTTCAGCATTTTGCTGAAAATGCTGCTTTTTTTAAAAAAAAAAAAAAGGATCTTGGAGCATGTTCAATACTATGTAAGTGTTTCTAGAGTATATTTTTAAATTCTTATTACACTAATTTTTACTAGTAGGGACTGATTTTCTCTTCAGTCCCTACTTTCTGCATTGGAGAAAACTTACAGTGTATTATTCTCAAGTATATAGATTTGAAGAAAGATGGACGTCATGACTATTACCAAGCTATGTTGAATGTTGGAAAATACTCTCTCTCTCTTGAACATTAACTAAAGTTAAATCTTATTGATCTTGGTCTCCCTTAAATGGATCTCATCGTACTTGAGCAAGGCACAGATAATTCATCAGTAGTATTAATGAGCTAGGTACAGATAATTCACAGCTCTATTCTGTGATCAGCACAGAATGAAAATGGTTTCCATCCTGGGGAAAATTTTTCAGAATTAATCTTTCCATGGTTGAGTAGTTGCTGCAAGCTGTAAGGCTGGCTATATTTGAGACTTTAAATGATTCCTTGGAAAGTTAGAATGTATAGTCTGTTTGATGAATCTGAGCATATGTGGATCTGTCTCATTGTTTCATCATAGAGCCATTTCAATTACCACTTTCTGGGTCTTATTCACACAGACACACACATGCATAATTTATTGCTATTCTAACATACATCTCTTCTGAGATTACTGAACTGGTAAAATGATCAGCATACTCTATCATACCTAGATTAATTGTCATCTCTACAGTTTATGTCTAGTGGCTGAGTACATAAAGCTCATGAAGTCAAATGTTGACAGTCCCTTATTAACCTTTGAACATTCCAAGACTAAGAAAAAAAAACTAGTAGTTTTTTACATCATATGTATGTAGCTGCATGTTATTTTAATGTGAATATAAATATATGTGCTATGTTTAAGGAAAACTTACTGAATGATGTCCAAAATAACAGCTACAGAGGTCATCAATTGTGGTTCTCCCTACACTTCTATCCTCAAAGTTAATAATATTTTTACTATATTTGATATTAGCATATAAATATGCTGGCTTAACCTGTACTTTGAGATGTAAAATCTATGGTATTTTAATACTTATCTAACAAGAAAGGACATTCATTTACAAACCCATCTTGCTTTAAAAATTTAAACCAAGGAGTGAAAACAGAAATACAATTAGTGGATTTGTAAATGAATTGTTTGTTATTAGCTAGGATTATATCTAAAAAAAAAAAATACATAAATCCAGTGCTTAATGAAAATCATGAGTTTCTTATATGCTTCTTTTTTTAGCGTTGTCTCTATCGGTTTATTTTAAAATGCAATACTGACCTTGTGATCTAGGTACGTTACAGACTTGTGGAATAAAGTAGGTTTCCTCAAACTGGTCACCAACTTTCAGCTTGGTAGTGGCTGCTGTGGGGATCAGTATCACAAAAACAGATTTAGAAGGAAAATAAGATGCTGAAAGAAGAAGTAAGATGTAACATATAATAGGATAAGGAGTATTGGACACTAGTCAGTAGGCATATCAATGAGATTTTGATGTGCCTTTCCATCCATTTGTCATTTTTCTTGGTGCATTATTTTTAATATGTTTGGTGTTTTTTTTTTAGCTCTCCATTAGTGCCACATCCCACTTTATGATTTGTTCGTGGACTATGTAGGGAGTCTGCAGTTTTGTATTTCAAAATGTTTGCCCTTTCTGCCCAGTGGTTTATTGCATTACCGCCATCATTCTTGGGCTTCCATAAGGGAATGGCATCTGTCCTCTCAGTCTTAAAAAGGGCAACTTAACAAGTGCATTCGGCTAAGCTGTGTCTTTCCGTCTCATAGGAATCACCACGGTGCTGACAATGACAACCATCAGCACTCACCTCAGGGAGACGCTGCCAAAGATCCCGTATGTCAAAGCAATTGATATTTACCTGATGGGCTGCTTTGTGTTTGTGTTCCTGGCTCTGCTGGAATATGCTTTTGTAAATTACATCTTCTTCGGAAAAGGCCCCCGGAAAAAGGGATCTGGCAAACACAACCAGAGTGCCAATGATAAGAACAAACTGGAGATGAATAAAGTCCAGGTAATGTATTAAATATTCCTAAGCCCTAACTGGTTTGGCTCAGTAGATAGAGCATCAGCCTACAGATTGAAGGATCCTGGATTCAGTTCTGGTCAAGGGCATGTACCTTGGTTGCAGGATCGATCCTTCCCCGCCTTGGTTGGTTGGGGTGTGTGCAATCCATGTGTCTCTCTTACATCAGTATTTCTCTCTGTCTTTCTTTATCCCTTCCACTCTCTCAAAAATTCAATGGAAAAATATCCTTGGGTGAGGATTAATATTCCTAACAATACTCTGAAATTTAGCAGCAGCATGGTGCTCAGGGCTCCCACAACAGAAAAAAAATGTATATTAGTTTACATTTAATAAGGCTCAAATACTCCCTCATTTTACGTAATTGAAAACTGAGGATGGAAGAAGTTAGGTTGATGTTTACATATATTAATATCACACCTGGACCTAAAATTCAACCTCAAGTTCATTATTCTTTATTCTAAACTACATAGTTGTAAAACTATATGCAAAAGAATAATTCCAAGTCTACTTGATAAATAAAAAAGAACTAAAGTAAAGAAGCACTGTCCTCTGGGAGTGGAAATGAGATAATAGAGCACAGTGGTCACAAACACAGATTGGAATCAAACTGCTTGTATTAGATTCCCAACTCTGCCAGTCACTGGCTTTATAACTTCAGGCAAATCAACCTATGTAACTCCTCATCTAATGTCAGTTCTCAATGCCATCATCCATAAATGGAGAAGATTATGGCATATCTATGTTACAGATTTGTTATAAGGACTAAATAAGGTGTTTTTTAAGTTCACTATTTAAAACAAATCCTGGAACATAGTAAGTACTCAGTAAGTATTAGCTATTATCATTATATACAAGATGTTGTCACTCTTTTTTCTTTCGCTGTTTATTGGTAAATCTTATGACATATACTCCCAGTGGGTGGAATTCAATAAAATTAATGCACTGTTTATTCTTTTAAAACATCTCTGTAGTCTCATCTTCTATGCCATTTTTACTGGAATCTGTTTTAAATTATGTACATTGAAATACTGTATTCACTACAAAATGTTTTCAAGACAGCACACAGGCAACAACTCAAATATCCATTCATTTAACCAGTGTTGTGAGCACTGACTGCTCTGAATGATACAGAGTTCCTTGGCCTCATGGAGTTTGGGGTCTAACATGGGAAGACAGGCAATAAACACACAAATCAGCATTAAGAGGATAATTTTAGGTTCGTGGATGTGCTATGAAGTAAAAACAGTAATGGGGATGAGAATGGTTTGGTTCAGGTTGAGGAAACAGGGGACTTTAATTAGGTGACTAGGAAGTCATCTTTGAGGAATTATCATTTGATCTGAGAAATAAGAAGCAGCCACCATACCCTGTCCCATGTAAGCAAAGGAAATAAGACCGAGGCTCAAAGGCAGGAATTGCGAGATGTTGTAAAGTACTGAGAGAAAACCAGTGAAATAAGAGCACAGAAAGTGAGAGAGAAAATAGACCATGAAATGTGGCTGGAGAATCAGGCAGAAGACAGACTATGAGTCTTCAAGGTGTATCTTCACGCTCTTTCGTAGGATCTCAAATTTGGACAAACACTGCCAGATAATTAGAAAGTTATGAGCAAGGGAAACATGCAGACTCAGCCACACGGTCAAAACTCAAACCAATGCATTCAAATAAATTTTTATTTTTGTGTGAGGCACTAAACTCAATGCTAACAGAGAATGAACAGGCATGATACTTGCCCTCGAGAATCCTCTAATCTTGCTGTGGAAGAAAAGTATACTCCTATGAGGTGATTGAATTATAAAATGAGGCCGGATGGCATTTATTTTGAGGAATATATCTGAAAGGAAGAAGCTTCCCACTGTCTGGTTGCAGCCCTAACAGCTTTAGAAGTATTTCAGCCATAGTTTTCAAGGGCACCTCTCTTCTATTTCCATCCCCATTTCAGTTGCCTTGTAACTCTATTAACTAATACTCTGAATAGCTTGGAATGTGTGTTAACTGATACATCATAAAGAAATGTCTTACATAAAGTGGCATAGTAGAACTGGTAAGAAAATTTAGAAGATATGAATTGGGTAGACGTTTAAAATATAGGTAGAACTGTGAAGATACAAAGAAAATACTCTTTAAATTGGCTAGAAAAGCAATGTTCTATAGAGAATAATTAAATGGAAAGGTCAAGCAAACTGAAATCTATTTCAATAAAATAAAAAGATTATAAAACAAATTTTAACCAATTTTGTAGGGCATTTGCCATGATTCCAGAGCAGGATATGAGAATTTTCTAAGGTGCTAAGGAAAAAATAAAGGCCAGGGGAAAAAACTTAATATATCATAGCATATCTAGATGAGTAATATATATTGCTCTGAAGAGAACTTACTGACTGGCTAATAAATCATTTAAATGTTCCCATCTAGCTAAGCCGGCTGGGCCAGTTAGTTGGAGCATCCTATTACACATCAAAAAGGTTGTGGGTTCAATTCCTGGTTAGGGCACATTTCTAGGTTGCAGATTCAATCCTTCGTCAGGGTGTGTATGGCAGGCAAATAATTTATGTTTATTCTCATATCAATGTTTCTCTCTCTTTCTCTCACTCTCCCTCCCCCTCTCTCTCTTTTCCTCCCTCTCTAATATAATATATATATAATATAAAAATAATGAACTATTGATACATGCATCAACTTGGATAGCTCTCAAGGGGATTATGCTAAGTATAAGATTACATATTGCATGGTTCTGTTTATCTAACACTCCTGAAATAAAATTATAAAGATGGAAAACAGATTAGTTAGTGGTTGCCAGAAGTTAGTGATGGGGAGAAACTGGGTGAAGGGTACATGGAACCTCTCTGCTATTTTTGAAACTTTACAGGATCCTACAATATTTTTTAATGGTTAAAATGAAGACCAAAGGAAAAGATTAATAAAATACATGAAGAGATGGCGAGTCTTGGGAGAAAAATTAAAGAAATTATAACAAAGAACCAATGAAAATTATAGAATTGACAAAGAAATAGATGGATTAGCAGCAGATTTTATCAGCAGAAGAAAGAATTAGTAAAATTGAAGACAATATTGGCCTTATCTCAACTTTTCCAAAGTACCAGCTCTTTCCATAAATGCTACTACCTCAAGGGATGCCTTAACTGACAGCCTCCTGTTAATTTACATTAGGTATTCTGATTATTCATCCTCATGGCTTCCCGCGCTCTTCTCCATGGGACTTATCACAATTATCTACATAAAGCCTATGCAACCGTTACAGCAGAACAACCAGAATGACCTCCGCTATGCTGCACACTAACCACCAGGGGGGCAGACGCTCAATGCAGGAGCTTCCCCTCCCACAGGGGCAGCACCGCTCAGCCAGAAGCCAGGCTCAGGCTTGAAGTTGGTGAGTGCAGCAGCGGTAGTGGGAGCCTCTCCTGCCTCAGTGGCAGTGCTAAGCAGCAGCTAGCCAAGTGTTGAGGAGCAGCGAGCAGGCAGGTGGTAAGGAGTGAGGGCTCCCGGACTGTGAGAGGGCGCAGGCTGGGCTGAGGGACCACCCCACCCCAGGGCACGAGTTCTGTGCACCGGACCTCTAGCGATTATGTGTTATCTGTGTAATTATCTTTTAATGCCTAACTCACTGTTGTTTCCTGGAATAGAGAAAATACCAAATAGTAATTGTTCAAGACAAGTTCTTAATATCACACAAGGTATTAAGTAGTACATCATAATGTCTTATAAAATCCTTATACTGGTATAGTCATAAAAGTAAGAAAGAAAAAAAAAGACTATAGTCCCCTTTAATTTCTGTCCTTTCTTACCATTTCTGTCGCTTTGATTTTTAACATTTCCTAAAGATGTTTTATATCAGTCTCTGCTATTCTTTTGGAATCACAGTGTCATATGGTTTCAGATAGATATAATCCTTAAAGGAGTGTCATGGCTAAGATTTTTGTAACCTTCTTCACATTTGTATGGAATAATAATACAGTGTTTCTATCTCAGGTCACTTATAATCATCCCTGCAGCTGCTCAGTTTTTCCACATCCCAACTTCCTTGTCCTCTTCTAAAACCAGGGGCTCAGACAGACAGTGTGCCAATAACAATATAAACGTATTACTTCATCTGTTCAGTGTACCATTTCCAGGAATGAAGATAATGCAACCTGTGTGGTATTTAAAAATGTTACCCCGTGGTTGAATTTTAAAAACTAGAAAACATTAGATTTTTCCTTTCACTTAATTGTTGGCTTATACTTTTCTTTCCTTTTAGAAACTTATACACAGTTGAATTCAAATAACGTATGTGCTGTGGTCCCAGAGAATTTTCATCTGAAGGCTCCCTAATATTTGCCTTGGTACCCCGGAGCATAGAGTGGCATTGATCATTTATTACACGTTACTTTTGATGGCCTTGGCTGGGCAGTCATGTCAAGGGGTAACTGTACTGAAGCCTCAGAAGTGCTTGCTTTGTCTTGATTTATGTTGCCGCGAGCAGCACTGAAGCATCTTTTTTTATATGAGTACAGATGCTGAATACAGACATTAGGAGAGTTTCAACCTCCAAGGTGATAACGGCTGTAGATTCATGAACCCCTCGGGCATCATTTGAAACTAGAGATGGTATTTAGAGTTTTGAAAGACACATTTCACAATACAATGAGACGGTAAGGAAGCCACTTCTGGTTCTGGGACACTTTTATCCTAATCTGCAACATATATGGTTGTATCTACTGGCCATCTTGCCTGCCCATTTGCCAATAGATCAGCTTAAGATTAAATGGTTGTTACATGGATGATCTTTGATCAGAGATAGATTCTAAATCATTTTAAGTTATGGAGGACATGGGTAGGATCTGCCAAATGTGCATTTGCAACCCCAGAAGTAAAAAAAAAAAAAAAAAATCAACAGAATTTTTCCTTCAAATTAGTTATTGATACTGGACTCTTTTCTCTCATTTTTATTCTCTGTGGTGAGTCATCTACATTTCAGACACCTACATTTCTAGACAAATTTGTAAATGTAAATCAACTTTGTATTATGACTAATTCCAAAGTACAAAGTGTATATGAAAGTAAACAGCTCTCTCCTTAAGTCTAACTTGTAACAGCTGGATATCTATACCAGCTTTGAGCCTAGGCTCAGGGCCCAACATCACTGCATTGCCCTCAAGCCAACAAGGACACTTCCCTCAGCCTTTGATGAAACTTTAACTATTCTGACTAGCATCTTGAATTGCAGATAAATCTGTGTTGACAGTTCATATCTTTGGTCCTCAAATCCCTGCCCAAATCTGATTTGGTTCTCTTTTTGTTTTTCAGCCTTTGCTGCTTAATCCTATCTAATTTTGACAGCCAAATGTTTCTAATAATTTCCAGGCCTATCTCTCTCTCTCTCTCTCTCTCTCTCTCTCTCTCTCTCTCTCTCTCTCTCTCAAACACACACACACACACACACATACAAACACACATCTCAACTATCTCATCTGATTCTCTTTCTCATTTTCTATCTAGTGTCTATTGCTTATTTTCTCTACACACAATTAGGATAATTTTTGGTAAACAAGAAAGACATAAAACTTACTACTTAACTGGCTTAAGAAACATAAAGGGAGAAAAGGAATTTTGAGCCAGTATAACTGATGGGTTCACATGTGGCTATATCCACACATTCAAACGGTGTCATTAGAAAGCACCTCTCTTCATCTCATAATCCTGCTTTCTTTTATATTGGCTTTATTTACAGTAAACTCTTCTCACATGGTCATCCCACAAAAGTACTTTCTTACATCAAATAGTTACACTTTAAAAATCTTAGCATAGAGATATATTCTCAGGACAAACTTAATTCCTCTGAACAGGAAGATGAAAAACATGAAAGGCTCACGTTGACATGAGGGTCCTTGAGGCTCACCAAAAGAATGTCAGGGCAATGTTTTCAGGAAGGTAAAAGAGTATCAGGTATTTCAAACCAATTGGCATTCACCACAATCATCTCAAACTCTGCCTAGAGGAAAAGATCCAGACTCCTTAATGTGGGACACAAGGGCCACCACTGCTTCATTCTGCTTTCTTTTTTTTTTTCTTTTTTTTCTTTTTTTTTTTTTTTTTTTTTTTTTTTTTTTTTTTTTTGCCTCATTCCTTCTCCCTCTCCCTTTCACCAACAGCATTTGGCTCCAGAATTAGAACATGATTTTCCCAAATTGCCATGTTTTCACTCTGTGGAACCTTTGTTTTGGCTTGTTGCCCAGATTCACCTCTTGACTGATGTTTTCCCTCATGCCTCAGGCTGAGTTGGTGCTCCTCCTCTAATTTGCAGAAGTCCTGGCCAGTGAAACTCAAGCAGAGCTCAGAAAGGTGGCTCCAAGTCTGAATTTCAGAGTTCCATATTCTTTGGACATTTATCAGCCCCTCCTTTGGAGTATCTCAGGCTTGGTTCTCCAAAGAGCAAGGGGAATATACAATGATGAACAGCAACAGCAACAAAAAAGCAGCTGTTCTCCTAGAACTTACGTTTCACTTGATGTCATCAACAAATGTGTAGATAAAATATCTAATGATAGATGATGATCAGTGTGGTGAAGAAAATGATGGGAAGCTAGCCAGGTAACAACCTGGGCAAGAGCACTCCAGGAGAGAGGAAGTAGCAGGTGAAAAATACCCCGAGGACTTATGGCATCAAGGGACAGCTAACAAAGGACAATGTGACTGGAGAAGAGAGTTCAGGGGGCACAGTGGTAGGAAAGGAGGGCAGAGGTGCCTGCATGAGCTTTGTGGGTGCTTTGTGGATTGAAATGGGAAATATGGGTTTTAGACTATGTCTTGGGAAGTAGCTAGAAGATCCAGATAGAGGAGACATGATCTCTATTGCATTTTAAAAGGATACCGTATTTTTCGGACCATAAGACGCTCCGGACCATAAGATGCACCAGTTTTTAGAGAAGGGAAATGAAGAAAAAAGGATTCTGAAACAAATAGTGTCCTAAAATATTTTATGTGCATTAAAACCCAACATCACAGTCATAAACACATGTAATCAACCCTGTAAAGTAACAGCAGCATTTAGAACCATTTTAGAGCCGGGCAAGCACACAGAGACCACACAGAGCCGGGCAAGTGAAAAAACTTTTTTTTAAAAGTATATGTGTAGGCTATATTTGGACCATAAGACGCAGGGACTTTTTCCCCCCACTTCTGGGGGGAAAAAAGTGTGTCTTATGGTCCGAAAAATATGGTAACTCCTTTTCTAGAGAAAAGACTAGAGGGCTCACTCCTGGAAAGAGGAAGATCAACTATGCATCAAGAGTTGACAGTGGCGAAAAGTGGTCAGAATCTTTCTCCAAAATAGAGCCATTAGGATCTGCTAATACATTGAATGAGAGAAATGAGGGAAGTAAAAAGATCCAGGATAAATGTGTCTCCCTGAGCAAATATCTGGAAAATGGGCAGTTGTTTCATTTTATCTTCATCTTTTGTCTTCTCTATTTCTTGAATAATATATGCAGTGTTTATGTAAGTTTATGCTTAACCTTTTATTACTTCTAGAAATATTAAAGTTCCCACTGCTGCCTGTAGTTGTCAAGACAAGTAAAGAGACATGTAAATCATCTCCAGCAAAGTCTCTGATTTCCTTTGCATCCCTTCCCCCCGCCAAAAAAACAATTTTTTTTTAGGAATTTGAGACCAAGGGATTGAGGGTGGCACCCCGGGTAAGAACAAGTAAGTAACAGCAGCAGCGTTAACACGTGCATTATAGGAGTGGGAGGGGCAGATGGAAGCTGGGTTGTGTGGCCCTCTGTTCTCTGCAGCGGAAGCGCAGGGCCATTCCCCTGGACAGCTGCACGGTGTAGACTGCAGGCTTCTGGAGGGCAGCTCAGTCTGTGACCAGCACCACTTCACTCGGCTTCCTGCTCTGTACTTCAGACTCACTTAGTGAATATGAATCTAATAGAATCGGTTAGCAAGGAGGAAATGATTTTCTGTTTGCAAAGTAGATTGAGCCTGGAGGTATTTCTCAACAGGGCTTTAAAACTGCCACTGAAAACAAGATTATATTTTATTCCAATTACACTGAAATGAGTTCTGCTATGTTTATATATTTGAAATATCCAGAACAATTATATTCAGTGAGTGGCAACATTTTTCACAGCCTAAGGCACTGTTTAGGGGATACTGTTAGGCAGAGAAGAGAGGATGAGAGAGAGGGAGAGTGAGAGAGTGGGACAAAGGATAGACCCAAGCTAGAAAATGAATTGCATGTTTGCATAGGGTTTCCATTGAGGGATAAAACACAGCCATCAGATCAATGTTTTGTGGATTTTAGACTTTAAAAAAATCACCCTTATGAGGAGGGTGGGGGTAAAGGGAAAGAGATCAATCAAAGGACCTGTATGCATGCATATAAGCCTAACAAATGGACACAGACACCAGGGGGGTGAAGGAATGAATGGAGGGGGATAATTGAGGAAGGGAATAAGGACACATATGTAATACCTTAATCAGCTGTTGAAGTGTGTATACATTTTTTTGGGACACCTTGCATGTACCTCTATGGATGTAATAAGTGGTAGTTATTAACAACAAAAAATAGTATATAAATAAAAAATAATTAAATATAAATACAAGTATAAATATATAGTCTATGGTATTTGGTATCTGTCTTTCTCTGTCTGACTTATTTCGCTTAACATAATATCCTCAAGGTCCATCCATGCTATAGTAAGTGAAAGAGATTCATTCTTTCCTTTATATGGCTGAATTATATATACACTAGAGGCCCAGTGTATGGATTTGTGCACATTGAAAGGAAATTAATTAGAAGAAATATGCCCACATACACGTGTTTTGTGGTTAGAGATCAATGGATGGATGGGTGGATGGATGGATGGATGGATGGAGATAATGTTAGACAGACACATGATAGGTAGCTGATGATGATAGATAGATTATAGGTAGGTAGATAGGTAGGTAGGTAGAGAGAGAGAGAGAGAGAGAGAGAGAGAGAGAGAGAGAGAGAGAGATCGATCTCCAGATCCAGGAGGCACGCAGAGCATGACTAGTTGGCCATGTTAAATGCACCCCAAGCGGTGTCATCAGTAACAGGTTAATGAAAACAGGCTACATACTATCCCCGTCTTTGTGCCTGAGCGTGTTCTTTCTCCTCCGCCAGGTCGACGCCCACGGCAACATCATCCTCAGCGCCCTGGAAATGAGGAACGAGGCGAGCGGCTCGGAGGTGCTCACGGGCCTGAGCGACCCCAGCACCACCATGTACTCTTACGACAGCGCCAGCATCCACTACCGCCGGCCCCGCGCGCCCCGCGATGCCTACGGCCACCCGCTGGACCGCCACGGCGCGCACGCCAAGGGCCGCATCCGCAGGCGCGCCTCGCAGCTCAAGGTCAAGATCCCCGACTTGACTGACGTGAATTCCATAGACAAGTGGTCCCGAATGTTTTTCCCCATCACCTTCTCTCTCTTCAACGTGGTGTATTGGCTCTACTATGTGCACTAAGGTCTGTCCTGAGGGTTCGTTCGGGAACGACTGCTTTTCCTCTTTTGAGTTTTTAACCCCTGCAGGTTCCCAGCAGCGAGGCTGCTGTGTTTTGGAGGTAAGAGATTCAGCCATCTTATTGGTTTTTAGGTCTTGCATATCAATTTTATTACTTGCACCATATTTACTTAAAAAAAAAAAAAAGGAAAAACAACAACACTATTTCCCCCCCTCCCCCCAGTCTACTGTGGTCCAGGTTACCAGCCCTTTCGAGCTTCTCTGCAATTGCCATGTTTACAAACACACGCGAAGAGAGGAGTTAGATAGGCAGCTCTCGAGCAGTCTTTCCTAGTTGCCCTGGATTTTATCATTTTTTAAAATAAGAATGAAAAAGAGGGCCTCGTTCTCTGTGCAAGCTGCTTCCTGGTAAACTGTAACAGTCTCATACTGCCAAAAAAAAAACCCCCCAAAAAAACCACCACCACAATTCCAGGATCTCAGAAGAAGAAAAACAAACAAACAAAAACAAAGCCATTGACCAGTTACAGATTTCCAGGAAGGAAACAAAGAGGAGCCTAGAAGAGAAAGACGCCTCCCAGCCCTAATTCTCACGGGCAGGGTTCTCAGCTCCCCGGCAGAGGAGGGAGGATTGGCGAGCACGGGTGGAGGTCATGCAAACCCAGTCTTGCCAGTTTCACCTCACCATTGAGCTGGACATTCTGAGAAACGCTTCTTTCTCAGACTTCCAGGCTGACTTAAGATTAACATCAGAATCCAACCTGGTAACCATTGAGAACATTTTTCCTTTCTTCTTGAGAACGAGGAGTTTGGGGGGTTAATGACTTTTTTTTTTTTTTTTTAATATTTCAAATGAACAGCCCTGAACTCATTCATTAGCCTGGAATCACTTGACGCTGCTGACATGAAGCCATGCCATCACATTTCCCTGGTTCCTGCCCCAGAGAGAGTGAGAGGAAGGGGCATGGGAGAAGAGAGCTTCAGAGATGGGGGAAATCATGCTCTTTCCATGAAGAAGGCAAGACTTATCTGCTGTGAAAAGGGTGCCTGGGCAGTGACCTGAACTGCCAAATCTTAAATCAAATAGTATATATTTCTTAGCCTTCCAGAGAGCAGTTTCTGGTGGCAACAGGCTAGTTGCACCAGCATCAACTGGCACCTCACGGCTCTGCTCTCTGAGCTCTGCATTCCAAACTATGAAACGATTGCACATCACACCCATGTTAGTGTCATACTTCTCCGAGGCCAGATTTCTATTTTAAAGGAAACTTTCCAAAGGGCAACACTGCAGATAACAAAGACAAACTCACTGGGCCTTCAAACATTTACCCCAGACTCTAGCCACACCCATTCATCACTGTCATCACTGCTCTACCTTATCTCCGTTCATACATTACTTTGGTCATGGTCATCACAGAAGGGGTGTCTCTCAGTAGCCCAACATGTGATTCTAAAGACGTCTAACCAGCTGCAGATGAGATTCATACCATTTTATGCCATTAAAGACCCATTGCTTTTTTTTTTTTTTTTCTCCCTTTAACGGAGCATGAAAGAATTCTATATGTTGATTTCCAAGGTGGTGTGAAAGCCTGAGTTTACCAGTCAATTACGGAGGTGTTTGGGACCCACTCCTTGGGTGTTAAAGTAAGGGTTGAGGAAATAATAGGATGATTGCCTAACTTGAAAACCTGACTTTCTCCCCACTGCTGTGATGAGGGTCCATGTTTACAATAGCACCAGCTGTTAGAAATTATAGTCTGCATTGAAAGATCAGGCTGAATTCTTATTGATGATTGTAAGATATTCTTCTAGAAAGCCAGGGGGAAAGAGAATCCCAGAATAAATGAATGGTTATGGCTATAGTTACTATACACTAGAGAACATGTGAAAACTGTGCTTTCACTGGGAAAATTATCTCAATGGTTTCATAAGAAATTAATAGGGTATGGGGACCAAATTTTCATTCAGGTTTTAATTGTACAATCACAATCCTCTGGTCAAGGAAATCTTTAGCTTCTGGGGATGAGTGATCCATTTTGAAACTAATTAGTTCCTTGGCAGGTGAGATGCTCTGCCATTGTAAAAATCCCCCACATGACTGTAAGGTTAATATTTCCAACGACCACCCAGGAACCACTGTGCAGCCATCTGTTTTAAACACAGAATGGGAGACTTTTGGCTACATGCCTCACAGGAATCAATCATTCTGATGTCAAAGCTCTTTAAAAGTTTTTAGAGATGAAATGCTAAATCAGAAAGGAAGTATCTGTAATCCATGTTTCTTTATCCATTTAGATCATTCTTCTTGGAAAAGATTGAGGTAATTTATATTTTTATTATTTTTTTATCTTGCCTTAAAAGTCTAAAGAATTTTATGCTTGTAGGTTAAAATGTATCTCTAACAGGAAAAAAAAAAAAGAGAGAACATTTTGAATTCTTATATATTAATCTTTGTAAAATGTAAAATTTGTAAGCCTGAATATTTTATCAGGCATCAAACGGTGTCACTGTATGGGTCTCTGATGGTCAGGGGTCCCAGCCACCATCATGCAAGTCCTGTTAAATAGCTCTGATTCTAGAGGCCATGGCAGCCACAAAAAAAAAAAAAAAAAAAAAAAAAATGGAGACGCTGCCATATTTCTGACTCTTCTGGACCCCTCCCCACTGAACCCTTCCCTCGTGAGACCCCTCCTACTCTTCCTCCAGGCTGAACCTTGCATGGAAACATGCCCTTCCTTCTCTGCCTCTCTCCCTCCCTTGTTCTGCCCAAAGTGATATACCTAACACATGAACGTTGTCAGACGTTCCCAAGTGCCCTCACACCGATCCTGTTCCTGAAAGATTCAGACCAATGCCTGACACAGGGGTTACCGTTCAGCTTATAGTACTCGGTTATTTTCTTCTTGCCATGAAAATAGCCATAACCTCCTTCATTACCGAAATGGCAGCGAGGCTGAAAATTGTATGGACTCCCTTACGCCACAGTCATGTCCAGGGGATCCCATGTTCACACTCTGTAAACGGTGATGTATATTGTGTCGTCAATGTTTCCGCGAAACCCCCGCACACATCCCGTCTTTCACGTGACATTCCATCATGTGACAGTGATGACTACGCAGCCATCCCTTCCACTCACGTCGTTTGGCTTACCATGTCAGGGGTGGCGTGTGTTACACGGACCAGGCTGGTGAAGCAAAGGCCCAGGGAAAGACGTGCTTGGCTTGAATCACTGGAGGCTGCCGCCTCCATCCTCTACATTGCCAAATAGATGCAGCAGACTGGGCGGCCATTCTGCTGATGAAATGATACGTGTGTCTTCATACAAACCATCTTACTGTGCATTACAATCAGTGGAAGATTTTGAAAGTGCCAAGAGAAAAAATGTGGTGCAGAGAACAGAGTTCGGTTTAGGGATCCAAGGGTAGGCTTTCCTTCAGCGCACAGTTTGTGCCATCCACATAAATGTTGACAAAAACCCCATCTCTCTAAAAAAAAAAAATCAATGACTCCTTTATAAATAGAATGCAATTAAAATTTGCCAAGTTCAACAACAACAAAAAAAAAATAAGGTACAATTTCTAATGCTAGAAGGAAACTTATCTCCAAGATTTCTGACACAGATCGTTTTTGAACAGTATCTTACCAAAGGGTGAAAATGTCACTTTTTTTTTTTTTTTTCCTAATCAAAGTGTAACCGTGTAACCCAGAGGGAAGCCAAAGGCACGTGCCAGCATTTGCTCACGTTGGTTCCATGAGCTGTCCCCTGGGATGCGGAGGACACACAGAACTGTCTCGGTTTTCTGAAGGCAAACAAGTACACCACAAGGTACACTTGGTCGTGGGATGTAGTAGACTCTTCTGTAAACTTTCCCTGTAAATTCTGTACATAGTTCCCTGAACCGTTCCTGTTGCGGGGGTGGTCCTCGGCTCTGGGCGGGCACCTGAAAAACGCTGAGCATTGTAAATACTGTAAGCTTCCAAGGCACTCGCTTTCCTTCATGAAGTGAAATGACCAGTGATTTGGATCCAAACCAGAATCTTTTTTAGCTCTTGCTCTCTCTCGCCGCCGTGTTGTGTGTGTGCACTTGTGTAACTCTGCCAGGTGTCTGTGACCACTGCCTCCCGCCCCACCCCCGCCGGAAGGGACAGCCGCCGCCCGCGGGGAGGGCTGCACACCTGCCGGGCTAGGGGACGGCGCACCAGCAGAGGCAGAACCTGCAGCCAGCGGCTCCTGGAAAGGTGTCCTGGAAAGTGAACCTGTTTCTGAGTCCTTCGCGGCTATCCGTACATTCAGATACCGAATTACCTGTGCTTTTCAGGGGGTGAGGAGTGGGAGAGATGACCAAAACCCACAGGTGATCCGAAGCTTCCTTTGCACCAGTGCTTCACCATTGAACTTTTTCCCTTCCACAAAGTTTCCCCCAAAACTTTTAATAAGCCTAGAAGTGGATGGAAGGCTTTCATCGGGGTACACAGTCAACCGTCCAGATGATGGGAAGGAGACAAGGAAAAGATAGCGAATGACATTGATAACACAAGCTGGGCTCGTTTCTGAGAGACCCACAGGGAACCGTGTCACTATTTTTAAAGGTAAAGAGAGATCTTGGGAATGAAAACAGATGTTTTACAACTGGGGGGCCCAAGATATGTTGGATGTATGCTAATTAAACTTCAAAGAGAATTTGATAATGGAGTATTTTCAAATGCATTTCTCCCCAGTCCTGATATTCTTGGAAAAGACATTGAGAATGGTGGATGTGATGCCATAGATGTGTTTCCATGCAAACTGGCAGTCCCAGAGAGGGTGGTAGTGTCCACAGAAGTTCACAATATCCAAGCAAGCACGGACATCGATTGGTTTATTTCTTAGGAATGTTGTAGAGAGTCCAATGTCTTTCTCAGAGGTCAGAACTTGGCAAGACAGGGCTTTTCATGCCAGCATTTTAAGTGCCAGAAGGGTGCAGGGAGCCATCACTGTGAGACATTTTGGTTCCAAGATGTGCCAAAGAGGGTCTACCAACGATTGAGTAAGAAAAAAACCCTGTTAGAACTGATCAATTTCTACAATGAAAATACATTTTGCTTTTTTACTTTAAACGTGCTTTTTCTAGTTAACTGAAACCAGTGATACTGGCAGGAAATTAATTGTCAGAGGTTACAACTCAAAAGCAAACATTTGAAAGGGAATGCTTTTTAATGGAAGAGTTGCAAACCAGAACATACTAAGGTCCTGGTAGGGTACAGGAAAGAGTTTGGAGTTAGCTTTTCCTTCCCCAGGAGCAAGAACTTCCTTCTTGGAACTCAAGATGTCTAACGTCTGTTTTGTTTTTCCTAATCAAAGAGTCCTTGGTACATCCAGGGGCTCACAGCCCTCCCTGGTTGGCCCCTACTTACCTGCACATCCTGGAGCAGCCAGCACTCATCCCAAAGGCTCCAGTAGGAACTGAGTATGGGAAAAGTCGGTGTGGTAGTTCTGAGCCAGCTGGGAAAAGAACTCCATTCCATTGAAC